GCTATGAACCTAACCCCATTTCCCTGAGATATTTGTGATTATATCTTTGAGCAAATATTTCCTTGTGAAAGCACCAGTGTTGCACACACAAACAGATATAAGGCCTCACTAGGAAAGGGGTATTGAGCCCTGGTAGAACACAAAACTAGGAGTAAGGGCACCTGCAACACAACATCTATGAGGCTTTAGGGCATTCGATTTCTGTGAATCTCACTTTTATAAGATGGAAAGGATAATACAGGGTTGTCCCAAAAGTCCACACTAAGACTTGTGGCACAACCCGTCCATGGACTTAGTGCTTCATGGATAGGTTCTTATGAGGATTAAATGAGGCAGTAGACAAGAAAAAATTCTGACAGTAACGATGGTCTACATTTATATAGGACAGTAAGTTTTGCAAAATGCTTTATATGTCCTATCTTATCTGATCTTCACAAGCCTTTGAGACAGGTACTTAGAGCAAGTATCATTTTCCTCATGTTGGAAAAGGCAACTACCCAGACCAGCTGGTTTAAGGGCAGGATGACAGAAACTTTTTGCTATTGTTATTGCTGTTTTTGTTTCAAGAATTGGTTTATACTTGGCCCTCATCGTAAGAGCCAAGGGAGAAAGATCTCCCCATTCTGGCTTTGGATGGTGTGGGGCCACACACAACGCAGATGGAAGGGGAGAATGTGATCTATTAGGTGTTTATGTTAAGGTTTCAAACTTACTTGCTCGCTGAGCCTACCACATCATGCCTCTAGTCATACGATGGTTTAGTCAGCATCTCTACCCAAAGATGCTTCAGAAGATACAAAACAAAAACAAAAGCGAGACAGCATAATGGAAAACACCCTGCTGTGATGGCACCAATTTGTCTACTTGCACCATGACTCCAAAAGGAAAATGTGCAGCTATGCTAAGAGTACTTTTCAGCTCCCAACCAGGAATGATTCTCTAACTCAGAAGGCCTCAAAATGTGGTCCAAGGACTCCTGAAACCTGAAAGGCAGAGATTTGCAAGGTCAAAATTATTTCCATAATAATAGTAAGATCTTTTAATTTCTATTATGGTAAATATCAATAGATAAAACTCACTTCAGAGCTCTTTGGGAGTCCTCACTAATTTTTACAAATGTAAAGGGGTCCTAAGACCAGGAAGTTTAAGAACTGCTGCTTTAATCAGTTAATAATCCTTAAAGATAATTAACTACTACACTTCTCTAGGTAATCGTGTGGCACAGGGGAAAGAAGGTTGGATTTGGAGTAAAACTGAGTGAAATGGGCCTGGATGGTAGTGAGCTCTTCACCAGCAATATTCAAAAGAGGCTAGATAATCACAATAGGCAGTGGCCGCTGAGATCCTTTCCAATTCTAAATCGTTCAATTCTATGGGTCAATTAGAGGACCTGGGTTCAAATCCCGATCTGCCATTTACTCTAGGTGATCTTGGGTAAGTCACTTCCTCTGGATCTCAAGTTTCGTTTGTTTGTTTGTTTGTTTTAGGGTCTTTTCCCTCTAAAATGCAAGATAACCTTTAAGTTAACTTCCAAGTCTAAGATTCTAACCTGGGGCCTGCAACTAAACCTAGGCCCTGCTCTGTAGAACAAAACTTGCCACAGGAGTGGAAGCTGAAATCAGAAAAGGTGTGAGTGAAATGGGTGTAGACGATGGAAAGAAGCCAAGTGACATCTGCACAAGCTGAGCTAGACAGCCTCCTTTGGGGTTGGACTCAAGCAATAAGAAAACTGCACTTCAAAAATTCAATTTCTGTGCAATTGTTTTATTTTAGTACAAGCTCCGCTTGTCCAAAACACAATCTTGTCTCAGCCGAACGGAGGAAAAGAGACAATTTCATAGTGGACAGAGATTACCGTGTCCCTAGAGACTAGTGTGGTGGTGCCTGTTTTACTAGACTACCTCAGAGGCTTAAAGGAACTAGTGGGGCTGATGCAAATAACAGGGGCTTGAAAATAAAGGGAAACTGAATTAGTCATCGGGCAAGACATATTTGACCCATTACATCTGAAAATTAAGGTAAATTGAAAGGCATGATTAGATTGTAATCTAATCATGATCAATTAGGCTAGTAGTAATCAACAAATTGGGTTGATAGCATTTCAATAACCAAAGACCCCCAAGGTAGGGCTTACTAGCCTTCATATAGTTTTGCAAAGTACAAGAGAACAAAGAACAGAGCTGTATAGGTGGGGAAGACAATGCAATTGGTTACAGGGTACATCAACGGTGTGGGGACAACCTGCATGGGGCTGGTAGCCACCCCTCTCTGACATTAAGGAATGTTACGGGATCCATCTGCATCCTGAGGACACTGTTAGTGGACCAGGAGTAACAAACTACCTGGCTCCTAGGAGGGCTTGTTAGGGAGCTAAGACCCTCCTTAGTTGTTGAAGATCAGGCAAGGATGGACAATATAATTTGTGAAAATATACCAAATCAGCTTATAGGCCTTTAAAGATAACAGAGATGTCCTGGAATCTTCCCAGGAGCTGAAAGTATGGTAAATAAAAGTTTTCCCATTAATTATAACTTTAAAATGATAATTTATAACACAGAAGGAAAGTTAAATTCCTGAGCTCAACTTAAGGACATAGAAAGAGGGCTTTAGGCAGATGCAGACGCAATTATAAAAATCAATACAGCATAAAATCAGTTACATTGTAAAATCAATACAGTAGAAATCAATACAGTAGGAACTCGAGGTAATACTAATTTGATCTTTTCACACAAATAAAGACAAATTTAAACAACTGGAGAAGTATTAAATGCTCACTGGGAGGCTGGGCCAATATAATAAAAATGACAATTCTGCCTAAATTAATTTATTTATTGAGTGCCATACCAATCAAACCACCAAAAATTATTTTACAGAGCTAGAAAAAAAAAGTTCATGTGGAAGAACAAAAGGTCAAGCATATCAAGGAAATAAATGAAAAAAAAATGTGAAGGAAAGTGGTCTCACAGCACCAGATTTCAAACTGTATTATAAAGCAGTAATCATCAAAACAGTCTAGTACCAGTTATTAGAGTGGTGGATTGGCAGAACAGACTGGATGAACTCGATTAGGTACATAATACACAGTAGCAAATGACCATAGTAATTTATTGCTTGATAAACCCAATGATCCAAGTTTTGGGGGGTAAGAACTCACTACCTGACAAAAATTGCTGGGAAAACTGGAAAGTAGTGTGGCAGAAATTAAGCATAGATCAGTCATCTCATACCACATACCAAAAGAAGGTCAAAATGGCTGCATGATTTAGATATAAAGATATCATAAGCAAATTAAGGGGGCATGGAACATTTTACCTGTCAAATCTATGGATAACGAAAGAATTTATGACCAAACAAGAATTAGAGGGCCACACAAAATAAAATTGATAACTTTGATTACATAAAATTAAAAAGGTTTTGTAAAAAACAAAACCAATGCAGTCAAAATTGGAAGGAAAACAGGAAATGGAGACAGGGAGAGAGATTTTATAGCAAGTTTCTCTGATAAAAGCCTCATTTCTCAAATACATAGGGAACCGAGTAAAATTTAAGAAAACAAAAAAGCCATTCCCCAATTGATAAATGGTCAAAGGATATGAACAATCAGTTTTCAGAAGAAATCAAACCTTTCTATAGTTATATTTTTCAAAAGCTCTAAATCACTACTGATTAGAAAATTGTAAATCAAAACAACTAATCTGTCAGATTAGCTAACATGACAGAAAAGGAAAATAACAAATGCTAGGGGGAATGTGGAAAAATAGGTACATTAATACAGTTGGTGAACTGGTCCTACCATTCTGGAGAACAATTTGGAACTACGCCCAAAGGGCTATCAAACAGTGCATACCCTTTTAACCAGCAATACCATTACTAAGTCTATCCCAAAGAGAACAATGTAAAGAAGAAAGGACCTATATGTATAATACTATTTATAGCAGCTTTTTTTGTGGTGGCAAAGAATTTGAAATTGAGGGGATGCCCATTAATTGGGGAATGGCTGAACAAGTTGTGGTATATGATTGTAATGGAATACTATTTTGCTATAAGAAATGTTGAAAAAAAATGAAAATGTTGAGCAGATGGTTTCAGAAAAATCTGGGATGACTTACATGAATTGATGCAAAGTGAACTGAGCAGAACCATTAGACTATTGCACATAATAATACCAATATTGTAGTGATGACCCACTGTGACTTACTCTGATCAATACAACAATCCAGGATAATTCCAAAGGATTTGTGATGAAAAATGCTACGCACCTCCAGAGAGAAAACTGATTAACACTGAGTGCAAATTGAAATATATTTTTTTCACTTCTTTGCAAATGTTTTGCATGATTTCCCATGCAGAATTGATATGTTGCTTGCCTTCTCAATGGATGGGAGAGGGGCTAATAGGAAAGAATTTGGAACTAAGAAAATTTAATGTTAAAAATAAATAAAGGAAAAGATGGGTTTTTTGGGGGTTTTTTTGTTTTTCAGTTGTTTTAGTCACGCCAATGACAGGATGAGGACATTTTTATCATTAAGGAATAAGTTCAGTTATCATTGTCCACAGAGGTCAGTGGAGCTGTCCCAGTCAGTAAATAGCACTAGTTGAAAAGCAGGTGGGAATGGGGGAGAAATGGGTCAAGTTATAGTTGGCCTGAGGAAGTATTTGCAGCATTATGGGTTTAGAATGGCAACTGCTGTGCAGTCATAAGTGCCCCAAGTACCTAGAGCTGGATGGAATGTGTGCTCTGGGAGTCCTGGAAGCTCCCTGAGGAGCTGGAGGTAGAGGATGCAAGGCAACATTGTAAAGACAAACAACTTTGAAGAACTCAGTCCAGTTACCATGATACAGAAGACCACAAATTCCCTTGATGAAACATACTATCCACCTCTGGAAAAGTGCTGACTTAGGTTGCAGATCAAGATATTTTTAGACTTGGCCAATGTGGGAATTTGTTTTGCTTTACTATACGTATTCGTTACCAGGCTTATTTTTTCTTTCCTCTTCATTGGGGCACTGGGGAGGGTGGAGAGAGAGAAAATATTTTTTGTTAACAGAAAAAAATTTTTTATAAAACAGTTCATGAATAGCTCCTCTTTGGGAACCAATGAGATTCCATAACTCCTGGGAAGTCTGTTATAGGATTATAGATTTAGAGCTGGAAAGAAATCAGTTAGTTGAACTTCCTCTTTTTCCAGCCGTCTTCATAACTGACTCCTCCATGAAGTACTCCCTTAAGGATGCTGGAGGCTTCCACATACTACTCATATAAATTATCCCACCTTCTGAAGTCTCTGGCAATACTCAGGAGAAGTCATCCCTTTCTCTATTATCCTAGGCAATCTCTAGTATCTTAGGCAAGTATATATACAGAAAAGCCGTCTGATTTTGCCTGTTTTCAGGAGAGCAGAATAAAGTCTTGATTACAGTAATTCTCATGTTAGTAGCGCTTGAAGGTTCACAAAGGCAGAGACCACTAGGTGCTACAGTGAAGAAACCGTTGAACCCTGGGGTCAGGAAGACTTGAATTCAAATCCTGCCCGAGACACTCATTTGGCTGTATGATGCTGAACAAATGACTTGACTTTTCTAAGCCTCCTCAGATATACAAAGATAAGACTAGCACTCAGCTAGCTCACAGAGTCAGAGAACCACAAGATATAATATATGTAAGCCACTTTGCAAATTTGCCATATCAATGCTAGCTACAAAGCACTTTTTTTACACCGTGAAGACAGGGAGAGGAAGGATTTTGACAGATTAGGAAAACGGGTTCAGTGACTGGCCCTTGGTCAGAGTAATGGTCAGAGCTGGGATACAAACCCAGATTGTCTGATTCCAAGTACAGCTCTGTCTGTACTCCGGCTCACTTTCCAGTGAAATTTTGCTTCTTCCCCCATTGTGTACCACATCAAATTGCTGACCCAAACTATGGGGGCTATTAAAGTCCTGGATGTTTTACCAATAAACTCCTGCCTGGCCATGCTGACCCTTTAATTTGTGGAGGTGATTTTTCAAGTTCAAGTTTCGAACAACAATTATCCCTACTACAAATCTTCTCTGGCCCCAAGTACTAGCTTGTCTAGATCTTTTAATGATCCTACCCTTCCAAGCCTTGTGTTGTCTGAAAATGTATATGTGTGCCATCTGTGCATGACACAACTGCAGTGAACACGGGGGTCTTAAAAACATTAAACAACACATGACCATAATCAAGGACATCCCTCCTTCCTCTCCTTCTGTATGATGCAGGAATTTCCCCTTCTCAAATGTTAAACAATGGTTCAGGATGTCCTGTCTCTTGTTATTATTTTTTTATTATATTATTGAAAAAGAGAGGCAGAGTAGACAGAGAGCTGTCCAGGAAGCCTGCAAGACCTAGTAAGTCCCGTAACCTTTCAGTGCCCCAGGTAACTGTTGAAGAGTGCAAGTTGAAGTCCGGATGCTGAGATGCTTTTGGTAGAGGGAGTTCCCAACACCAAATGAAATCACAGGCCCTGTCACTGAAATTTTTCTGCATGTGCCCAGCCCAAGTTTCATGGTATAGACTCCTGTCATAATGATAGCAATCTTCCTAAACTTGAGCATTCATTTCTCAACAAGCCTTTTGTGATTATTACCTTCTTTGGCATTCCCTTGGCCTTCAGGGCTATGCTTCCCTCACTGGCTGATGTCCAGGGACTCTGGTTTGAGTCTTCAAATCAAGAATTCATCTCAATTCTTTTTTTATTAAATCCAATTATCATCAACAAAAACAGTCAAACAAACATACAAAACATCGGTAGAAACAAATGAAAATATAAAAACAAGCAAAGAAAATAATTTTGTTTTGCATCTTCTTCCAGTCCGGCCAGAAGTTTATTTTTGGCACCAGTCTTAAGTTAAACGGCTTTCAAACACTGAGACCAGATGATCCTAAGGACAAACTAGAGCTATCGCTTTTCCCTTCTTTGAAGGCCTGTCTTCATATCCGGGCTAGCCGCGGCCAAGAAGCCACTAACCCACACTCCACTTCCAAACCGTTTCCTGGCTCTTGGCATCTTCTACTCTCTAAGTTTCCTTTAACCAGCTCATCTACATGTTCCACTTACTGCCTCACAATAAAAGACTATCTGTCTACTGAATGTTTTGGGAAGTAATGTTTTAGTTTTCATGAATGGGTTCCCTTTTTTGCTTGAAGAAACACTCTCATTTTGAAGACATTGTTTTAGCTAAACACTTATGTACTTCCTGATGGGCCTTGTATGAACCTACACTCTTTTGACAGCGATAGTGTATTACCAGAGAAAAACAAATGGAGAAATTTTCTATTTCTCCATCCCATGTAGCAAAATAACCGGACTGTTTTGTTAACTACAGAGCTGACTTACATTTACATCGCCAGATAACCCTTTTGTGGAATGTGAGCAGAGGAGCAAACCACAAACGAAGGCCTGCTCATAATCACTGGGAGAAACATTTATAGGATTTCTCTCCGGTACAGATCCTCTGATGTGTAGTAAGGCTTCCACTGGGACTAACAGATTTTTCTGTGTGATATACATGTATAGGGTTTTTCTCCAGGATGGATTCTCAGATGTTGAGTAACCTGGTTCATGTGGTGAAAGGCCATTCCACAAACACTACATTTCAAGTTATATTTATGGGCTTCTTCCCCTGATAAAAACTTCTCAGTTGACTAAAGGCTGTCCCACATTCACAGTAATAATACCATTTTCCCCTTCGGCACAAAGGTCTCTGCTGCTGAGACAAGAGTCAAACTGAGGATAACTACCAACCTATACGTCTACCATTTTCAGCTCTTCAAAATCTTTATTGAGAATAATCTAGACAGACATCAGGAACATTCTTGATCAAAGTAGGAGAAAGGAATAAGCAGGTTTTAGAAACTTCTATTCTATAGCAGACTACAGCTTTACAATCACACAACTGACTGAAAGGTGCAGAGAACATTAAGATCTCTCTGTGCTTACTGTTTGCTATCAAGTGGTCTCCCATGTATACACCAACATCATGAGAATCCTTAGGAGACACAACAAAAAGGAACTCATTCAACAACTGCCAAACAAGGTGTTGACCACCTCGGTCTCCTGGAATCCCTGGTTTTCTTTAAATATCGGCTCAAATGCCACCTTCTACAAGAGTGATTTCTTGATCCCCACTCCCCTGCCCCCACCTTCTACTGCTCCCACCCCAAAAACTGCCTTTTTTATCTGTATATTGTACCTTATACATGCTTCTGTATGCCCCTGTCTCCCCAGTAGAATGTAAGCTCCTTGAGGGCAAGGGCTATTTCATTTCTGTCTCTGTACCTCAAGCACCTAGCACAGTGCCTGGCACATAGCAGGCATATAACAAATGCTTGCTGACCACGATGTCCATCTCAGAGTCCAAGTACAAGAGGGATTCCCAATAGATGGCGAGGTCCTCCAGATGTTCCTCTTTGTAGGATGTGCCAATGACAGCAAGCCCTGACATAGCGCAGGGACTCCTCAATGAGATTCCAAAGAAACTGGCCTAGTGATCCACACCGTGAGTTTTGGTATCCTGGCTACACTTACCCTCCACCATTATTTCTTCGATGTTGCTGACCAAGGCAGCACTGCTGACTGAAGGCTTACTCGCATGAACTGCAATTACAAGGTTTTCCCTCTATTGTGGATTCTCTTATGGTGCTTTAAGGCTGAGACCTGCTTGAAGGCTTTCCCACACTCATTACATTTATATGGTTTCTCTCTGGTATGAATTCTCTGATGCTTTGTAAGGTAAATATTTTGGTTGAAGGCTTTTCCACATTCACTACATATAAAAGGTTTCTCTCCAGTATGAATTTTCTGATGATTGGTAAGAGTTCCCTTCTGACTGAAAGCTTTCCCACATTCCATACACATATAGGGTTTCTCTCCAGTATGAGTTCTCTCATGGTGACTAAGGGCTGAGTACTGCCTGAAGTTCTTACCACATTTATTACATGTATAAGGTTTTTCACCGGTATGAATTCTCTGATGCTGGGTAAGATAAATATTCTGATTGAAGGCTTTTCCACATTCGCCACATTTATACGGTTTCTCTCCGGTATGAATTCTCAGATGTGTTGTAAGGCTTCCACTATGACTGAAGGATTTTCCACATTCCATACACGTATAAGGTTTTTCGCCGGTATGAATTCTGAGATGCTGAGTAACCTGGTTCATGTGGCGGAAAGCTTTCCCACAAACAGGACATTTACAAGATTTCTCTCCAGTGTGAATTTTCTGATGTGCAGTAAGGCTTCCCCTATGACTGAACGACTTTCCACAATCAGCACATTTATAGGGTTTCTCTCCAGTATGAATCCTCTGGTGCTGAGTAAGATAAATATTCTGGTTGAAGGATTTCCCACATTCACTACATTTGTAAGGTCTCTCTCCTGTATGACTTCTTTGATGCTTAGTAAGACTTGCCTGATAAGTGAAGGCTTGACCACAATCACTGCATTCATAGGGTTTCTCTCCAGTATGAATTCTCTGATGCTGAGTAAGGGTTCCACTGTGACTAAACGCTTTTCCACATTCCGTACAAATATACGGTTTCTCTCCAGTGTGAGTTCGCTCATGGTGAGCCAGGGCTGAATACTGCCTAAAAGCCTTACCACATTCATTACATGGATAAGGCTTTTCTCCAGTATGAATCCTCTGGTGCTGAGTAAGGCTGCCACTGTGACTGAAGGCTTGCCCACATTCTTTGCATTCATAGGGTTTCTCTCCAGTATGAATTCTCTGATGTAAAGTAAGGGCTGAGCTGTCATTGAAAGATTTTCCACAGTCCCCACAAATAAAGGGTTTCTCCCCAGTGTGAGTTCTCTGATGTCGAATAAGATACATACTCTGTCTGAAGGCTTTTCCACATTCACCACATTTATAAGGTTTCTCCGCAGTGTGAATTCTCTGGTGCAGAAGAAGTGGCGAGCTGTCACTGAAGCACTTACCACACTGATTACATTTAAAGGGTTTCTCCCCAATATGAAGTGTCTTATGTCGAGTAAGGTGAATTTTTTGTCTGAAAGCTTTTCCACATTCACTACAATTATACGGTTTCTCTCCAGTGTGGATTCTCTGATGTAGAGCAAGTGACCAGCTATCACTAAAGCATTTAATACAGTGATTACATTGATAGGGTTTCTCCCCACTATGAAGTGTCTTGTGTCGGATTAGGTGCATTTTTTGTCTGAAGGCTTGTCCACAATCACTACATTTATAAGGTCTCTCTCCAGTGTGGATTCTCTGATGCTGAATAAGGTGCATACTTTGTCTGAATGCTATTCCACATTCACTACACTTAAAGGGTTTCTCTCCAGAAGTAATTCTAGCATGTTGAATAAGGTGCCTCCTTTGCGGGAAGCTTTGCCCTAACTCAACAATATCGTAAGATTTTTTTCCACCAGGTAGTCTGTAATATCGAATCAGATCTGAGTGATAATTGAAAGCTTTGCTACATTCATTATACTTATAGGGTTTCTTCCCAAAGGCAATTCTATTGCGCCTTACTAGCTCTGAATATTGTTTGAAGTTATTTCCACGTGTGTCATATTTATGGAGAGTTTTTTTAATACTAACATTCTCTTGTGCATCAGTGAGTAACATCATACTGAAACTTCTCCCAAATGTATTACATTCTTGATCATTCATTTCACTGGAAGTGTTATTGTTGGTGTTTGTTACTTGCCTTAAATCTTTCTCGTGGTTGCTGAGTTGCTTCTCAAACATAGCATCATATTCCCAGACCTGTTCCAACTTAAAGTCCAAGGGAACATTCATCCAGAAGCTTTCTTGCAATGATTCTTCCATATGAATGCCATCCTTTGAATCTCTCTGCATGGACCCAGGTCTAGTATCATTATCTGAAAAAAATTAAGACATTTAGACAGACGGATAGATAAATGTCCCTTGCCTACTACACTGACAGAAAGGAAACTGAAGAGCAAATCCTCTTTTGTGGAGGACATTTTTCCTAGGGCAATTACTCATTAAAAATATATTTATTAAGCAACACCCATAGACAACACACTGTGCAGTAACTAGGGTTATAAAGACAAAAGAGAGAAACAGTTTGTAGCATACATGCTACGGTGGGGAAGAAAAACCAGATAAATACAAGGTCATTTGAGGAGACAAGCAACACTAACTCCTGAAGAGATCAAGCAAAGTTCATGGAGGAGGCTGTTCTTGGGTTGACCCTTGAAGGAAAAGAAGGAATGTGAAAGGTGAAGAGAGTGAAGGAGTGCATTCCAAGCATGAGGCACGGCCTAGGCAAAGGCAGAGAGGTGGGGAATAGAACTCCAAGTCTGGAGAACAGTTTTTAGTTCAGTCTGAGTAAAATGCAGATTGTGTGACAACAAATACCATAAAATACGGCTGGAGAGTTAAGTTGAAGCCAACCTTTAGAAAGCTTTAAAAGCAAGGCTAAGGAATCTGTATTTTATCTCTGAAGTTTTCTGAGTAGGGCAATGACATGGTCAAACCTACACCATGCTTAAGACACTCCTGGCAGCTTTGCAGTAGGTGGATTAAAGAGCGGAATGACTGAAAGAGTAAGGAAGACTGTTAACATAGTGAATGTGGAAAAGGGGCAGGACCATAGCTCAGAGTAGGTGAGTCAGTAACTGATGTGAAGAGAGAACTGCTTAATTATCATTTGCTTCTGTTTTCTCTGTCAAGGAGAATCAATGACCTTTGGATGGAAAAGACAGAACAAAAAATGGCTAATATAGAGGTGATACTCAAGATAATTAACAAAACAGTAAGAAAGCAGTTGTCTCATTCCGGATGACTGCTCTGTCTACACATCCCACAGTGTCTCTGAAGATTAAAGCTGCAGACCCTCCTTCAGGCAGTGAAGACATGCATAGTGGATGCAACACACTGCTGATTAAGAACTGCAGCACAAAACACAAATCATCAGAGCTGGACAAAGAGGCAGTCCTGCTACAGTAAAACAAAAATAGCTCACAGTGAAGAGAGAGACACCTCGTCTCCCTTAATTAACTCAAGGCACCTGGCCCATAGGAACTACATCTTAAGGTACTAAATGAATGGGTTGATGGGATTACTGAGTCACTGTCAGAAATGTCTGAAAGAGTGCAAGAAACAAGAGAGCATCCAATGAACTTGACTCTAATACTTGGGAAAATTCTAGAATGGATCATTAAAGGGAAGGTTGCTGAGCATGGAGAAGAGAAACCAGAAAGAGCTTTAAGAACAGGCCACGCATGCCAGATTAAATTATTTCCTTTTTTTTTTTTAAACAGGCTTACTAAGCTCTAGCAATCGGGGAATACTGTAGTTATTCTTTTCCCAGATTACAGCAAGGTGTCTAATAAAGCTATCTCATGCTATTCTTCTACAGAGGATGGAAAGATATGAACTAGATAATAATGCAACTAGATGAATTCAGGACTGGCTGGAAGGTTGGACTCCCAAAGCAGCTACTAACAATTCGATATCAAGTTGGCAGGAGGTCTCTAGTGAAATGCTTCAGAGATCTGCATAAAGGTTCCCACGAAATGCTTACAAAGGTTGCAGTTAAGGGAAACAGACCATACCTCACGTGTGCCAAGATCATCTCGTTTCTATCTTCATAACAGCTTTTCCGTTACACCCCTTGTCTCCAATGGCACAGCCACCACCCTACTGCAGACCCTCATCATCCCTCACCTGGACTACTGCGATGGCCTTCTAACTGGTCCTACCCTGCCTCAAGTCGCTCCCCAGTCCAATCCATTCACCACTCAGCTGCCAAAGTGATCTTCCTAAATTGCACATCTAACCATACCATGCCCCACTGCCCTCAAATAAACTCCAGGGACTCCCTACGACAGGAGCAAATATAAAATCCTTCTTTGGTATATACAGCCTGGCTCCTTCTTGCCTTCCCAGTCTTCTTACACCATTCCCCTCCACATATGCAAACAGACTCAAATCCAGTTACGCTAGGGCTTACCCGCTGTTCCTCACACACCACAATGCATCTCCCAACTCCTTGTCTAGAATTGTCCTTTCTCCTCACCTTCAGCTCCCAGCTTCCCTGATTTCCTTTAACCAACCAAGCAAACATTAGCTTGCTCAACATTCAGCTCATACCCTCCATTCTGCAGGACTTTCCTGGTCCCCTCCCCCCGCCCGGACCTCTCCAGTCTTCCTGCCCCGATGACCCGCCTCCTGCCTGCTCCTCAGACACGCCCTCCCACCCCTGACTCCAGGCATCACCAGTGACTGAACTCGTGGCCCATCTCCGGTCTCCGCCTCCCTGGCTTCCTCCAAATCCCAGCTAAAATCTCAATTTCTACAGGCTTCTCCTTCTCCCCCACAGTGCTGGTGCCTTCCCTCTATGGATCATCTCCAGTCCATCCTGTATTCGGTTTGTGCCTAGTTGGCTGCATGTTGCACGCTGTCTCCCTTATTAGGCTGTGAGGGCAAGCACTGTCTTTTGCCTTTCCTGGTATCCCCAGTGCTTAGCATAGTGCCTGGCACATCGTAGGTGCTCAATAAATGCTTTCTGACCACCGCCGTGCTGGAATGAGGGGTGGGGGGAGGAGGAGGAGGCACAAGGCCTCACCAGTGGGCACTGATGAGAGTTCTGAAGTCTTTCAGTCCCTTACAGTCTTGGAATCACCTTATAAACTGTGCTTCTGGTTCAGCTTTCTTTGCTCTGCATTTCCCACAGTGTTAGGATAGTGGGACCCGGGAGTAAGTATGGCCAGTATAACCCTTATTTCTACATCCCTCTCCCTGGCCCATAAACAACCTTCCCGCCAAGGGGGCCAGGCCACAGACAAGTTAAGAGCCCTCCACCTAGCCGGCTCGTTCTGCAGATGAACAAAGAAGTCCAGGGAAGTCACGTGATCTGCCCAAGATCACACAGCGACGAATGAAAGCACCGAGACTGAAAATGAGGCCCTCGCGTCCCATGCCCAGGGCTATCTCCCGTGCAGTGGTGCAACAGCTTGAGAAACAAGAAGACACAACACTTCCTTTGGTATCAGAGGGATGTGGGAGGGGAGAAAGGACCAGAGAGCAATGGATTGAGGTGAAGCAAAAGACAGCAGAAGGTGAGTGCTCTTAAGAAAGAAACAGCCAAGTCCCGGGGAGAAAGAGGCACCTCCAAAATCATGCCCGGGAGGCCACAGGCCCCGTCCCGGCCTGTCTCACATCTCCACGCTATAGCCCTTTGACCAGGCAGCTGAGCAAGCGCTCACAGTGATTCACGCCTGCCTGAATCCCCTCACTCACCTGGACAGGAGCCTATCAGGCCTTCTCTCTCCAGCATGCACGGTGCTTCCCCTCGCTCCAACCTGGAGATCACCTCTGGTTTGATAACCTGAAGCTCTGCTCATAGGGAAAGAAATGGAAAAACGCTGGGGACACAGAGCTGCCACAAACTCACTTCCGGTCTTTCCTCTTCATGTCAGCAAGGCCCAGGAAGCGACCACAAGGCCCCGGAGGGACTCTCTGAACTCTTCCCAGGTGTTCCCAGATGGGTGGACGGCCTGCACAGGGCGGGCTTGGGTTCACCAAGGACTTTGTCTGTCATCCTCCCTGCTAGCAGACGTGGAGCCATGACAGATGATACGGAAAGTGCGGCCTCCGGCCGGCCAACAAACTGAGGCCAGGGATTCCTAACTGTACAAAACAAAGCCCTTTCACAAGGACATGGAGCAGAATTCATGCTTTCTCTTGGCCCGATGCAGCTACGCATCTCTCCCCCCTAGTATACCATGCCAAATTAGGCTAAAGACAGCAGAAACCCTATGGCCCTTAAGTGAGAATCCAGAGGAAACCCCAATGGGCACATTCCCCCCCCCCCCAGGAAAAAGAGGTCCTCACCCAAGGACACCAGGTTCCTGTAGTTCTCCAGCATCACGTCCCTGTACAAGTCCCTCTGAGATGGGTCCAGCTGCCCCCACTCCCCCTGGGTAAAGTCCACGGAGACATCCTTGAAGGTCATTGATTTCTGAAACAATGAACACATTTCTGCTCACCCAGGGATCCTCCTCGCACATGCCCCCAGAAGGGAGGCAATGCTGGCAGGACACACAAGGAGGGGCCCAGACAGCTCGGGGCCTGCAGCAGCGCGAGCTCATCTCCTCTGGTTTCCTGGAACAGGCCTCACACTCTGCACTAATCTTTCCAATCCCGGAGCCAGGTGCCCAGCCATCCCCGTTCCCAATCTCGGAGCTCTGCTGCTCTCTTCCCTTTCCTCCCCCTCCTCTCCCCTCACATCCTCACCGCCCTGGCTTAGGATCTCATCATCTCTCACTCACACTACTGCAACATCATCCATCTCCTCTTCAACCCGACCTTCAAACACCGGCCAAAACCATCTCCCAGAAGAAAGATCTGCCCCCACCATCCCCTGCTCAAACCTTTGCAGTGGCTTCCTCTGGCCTCGAGAATAAATGCAAACTACCCAGTCTGACATCAAAGGCCCTCACCCACCCGGCTGCAGAAATGTCCTATCATTCCACTCGACACACCCAATGTTCCTGCCAAGCTAGCCTCCGAGTGGTTTCCCAGACCAGCATTCCATCTCAGGCTGCGTGCCTCCATGCACTCTATCCCCTGGCTCAGGGATGCCCATTTTAGCCCCACCTCCACCTCTGTGGATCTTTATCTTCCTCTAAGGTTCAAGTCAGGTGAACAGACTTTCCTGATTGCCACAATTATTACTAGGTCATGGGATCACAGGAGCATATACCTAGAGACAGAAGGAGCCTGAAAGACCATCTAGTCTAACCCCTTCATTTTACAAATGAGACCAAGGGAAGCTAAGTGACTTGCCTAAGGTCACATAAGCAGTCAATGTCAGATTTGAACCCAGGTCCTCGGACAGGGTCTGCACATTTTCTATTACGCTGTCTTGTCTTCTCCTTCCTCAAGCTACCTTGTATTTACTTATCTGTGTACATGTTGATGAATGAATGAAAAAGCACACACTGAGCACTTACTACATGCCAAGCACTGCACTACGTGCTAGAGATACACACGCAGAGACATCACCTGGAGGGGACTGGGAGCTACGGAAGGATACTGCGGTTTGGAAAGAGCATGAGCTGTAGCGAGGGCAGCCAGAGGGGAGAGGAATGACATCCGCTTTCTAAGAGCAGTGTCAGAGCTGACTTGAGAGAAGGAAATGCCCATGTTCTGAAGTCATAAGGAAGAGATCCCAACTCACCTGCGACTTAGCTGTGAGGAACCCAGACGTCATTCCCTCCTCTTCGTCCATGTTCGTTTCTTGGAAAAGAGCAGTCTGGAGGAAAGAGGGATGCAAGCGGAGAAGGGAGTCACAAGGAAGTGGAAAGCATGACTCTCCACCGGGGAAACCATCCCCCACTCCATCTGGCTAAGACCTCCATGGTCCTTACAGATCCACTGGTCAACAGGAGTCCTGAAACCCCACCTCCTTTTAGGATAATACTAACAATGGTAATAGCTCACACGTACAATGGGCTTTCAGGCTTACAGACTGCTTTATCCATTCTAAACTCAGAGAAGACAGATTGAGAGCTGGAAGAAGTCTTAAAGATCATCCAGTCTAAACTCTTCATTTTACACATGAGAAAACAGTCCTAGGGAGGTCAACTGATTTGCCCAAGGTCACAGAGCAACAGACTCCAAAACCAGTGCTCTTTTTTTTGGTGAGATAATTGAGGTTAAGTGACTTGCCCAGGGTCACACAGCTAGTAAGTGTTGTGTCTGAGGCCGCATTTGAACTTAGGTCCTCCTGATTCCAAGGCCAGTGTTCCATACACTGCACCACCAAGCTGCCCCAAAAACCAGTGCTCTTAACACCATAACACCAATCTGTGAAGGAGTGAGATGATACAGTGGATAGAGCACAGGACCTGGAGTCGAGAAGACCTGAGTTCAAATTTAGCCTCAGACACATCCTAGCTGGAGGACTGACCCCGACAACTCTCACCTTTTTCCTCAAGCACTAGAAGCAGGTCCTCTACGCCCTCCCCACCTTGCCCCTGCCTCTACCCAAATCTGGCCTCTTTGGTAAGGGATTGCTCCAGCTCTTCTGAATCAGTCTCTAGCCTCTGTCCTGGAGTTCTGCTGAAAGGCCTCTCAGGTCGGGTAGGTTTCCTACCAGGATGGATTCCTGCTAACCATGGATACCCTCCACTCTCTTCATCTCCCCTCAGAGCCGGGGGCTTGGGGTTCAAGAGCAAGGTCATTTTACCTGGGGCCTTCACTGTCAGGCTCAGTTCTATCTCCACAGATCCTCTGGTGTTCCAGGCTGGGGCCCTGTAGACTCTACTGAAGGCTGCTGGGTGACAGACAGGGAGAAGACTGAGTCAGCAGAAAGGGCTCCACAGTGTCAAGACACATATTCCCATCTCAGGGCCCTTTGGAGATGGCCAAAGACCATACAAATGGGAATAGGATGGCTTTCATTCGGTCATTCAACCAACATTTACTGCACTCACTTTGGATAACGCCTTGTGACATCAAGCCCTTTTTCAGATATGTGGATGAGACAAGGGCCCTGATTCAAGGAGCTTACTGGGAGCAAGGTATCAGTGGACAGAGCAATGGACACAGAGTCAGAAAGACCTGAGTTCAAATCCAGCCTCAGACACTTATACTAGTTGTGAGACCCTGAGCAAGTCCCTCAACCTCTCTCAGCCTCAATCTGTAAAAGGGGAACAAGATAATAGCACCTACTTCTCAGGGTTGTTGTGAGGGTCAAATGAAATACTATTTGTAAGGCGTTTTGCAAGCCTTAAAGCACTATATAAATGCCAACCATTATTATTACAATCTAGTGTAGGAGTGGGCAAGCAGGGGGTCTTGGAGTATATAGGAGTGGCATTTGTGATGAGACTACACAAATAAGCCTGAGATATACCTACACCTGTGTTGTTAATGTGGCTGAGCTCACCATCAAGGACTTGAAGAAAGCAAACATGAGGGAAAAGCCATCTAGGAAGAGAGGAGGGGAGAGCCGTTAGAGGCCAGTGAAACAGGAAGTGCACCAGACCACAGCGAACACAGAAGAGTGTGGCAATTATGGGGACAGGAAAAACCACTATGAATGAGGGGAGACTTCCAGGTCCTAGAGCAACACGATGGTGGGCTAGACATTTTTTCCAAACTCCCAACCTCTCAAATTTCTTCAAAAGAGAAATTATGCATCAAAGGTAATGCAACTTCAGTTGCCTCCATGGTTGGAGACATCCAAAATCCAAAATTCACCCAAAAGTCATCACCCAGGACAGGAGGAAGCTGAGATGATCCACAATCGGAGGGGAGGGAGTCAGAAAATGAGTGATAAGGAAAATAAGAGGTAAAAAAACTAAAATCACTACAGAATTCTGGAAGAAATCTCAAAGACCTTGAACACAAACAGATAAATCAACAGGAAAAACAGTAACAACAAAAGGAAGTACGGTCTCCGGATCTAGTAAGTAACTTCAGACAAAATAAAGGATAATGATACAACATTTGAGGAGACAGAGAAGCCTGTGGAAATTGAAGAGAACCTGAAATTGCAACATGCAATTTCTTAGTGATTTAAAAGAGAAAGGAGAATTATGAGAGAATGTATATCCTGCACAGTAAAAATAAAGAACAGAACAGAAAACTTGGATATGTGACGGCAAACCTCAACAAAGAAGTTCAGAGAACAAGAGACTGGGAATGCAAATGCACAGAAAGTAAAAGACAACCTAGAAGAAGAGAAAGCAAAAAACAAAAATGTTTAAAGAAAACACGCTCATTACAAAAGGAAAACAAGGATTTTGAAGACAGGATGCATAGAGACAGCGTAAGGATCATAGATATCCCAGAAGATAACAGGATAAAAAACCTTAACACTATAATGAAGGAAAGAATAGAAAAGAACAGTCCAGAACTTCTAAACCTAGAAAATGAAATTCCAGTTGAAAGAATTCATAGTTCGCCTCCAGAAAAAAAAACCCCAAGGCTGGAAATTCTAAGACACATAATGATTAAAACTAACAATTCAATCCAGAAACAAGTTCTTCAAGCAATCAGGAGAAAGGCCTTCAAATAAAAAGGAAAGGGCATTCTAATAATGCAAGACATTCTGAACCCATTAGAAAAAGGAGGGAATGAAAGAGATGTGCTCTGAAGAGCACTGAAGCTCAGGACGCAGCCCAGGGACACCTATCCTGAAAATCTGAGTTTAACCATACAGGAAAAAAGATGGACATTCAACAATAAAGAAGAGTTTGAAACATTTTTAGAAAGAAAGCCAGAACTGAAGATGATACTGGCCTCTCACACACCCTAAGCAGCAGGCAAGGGTGGCGATGGTACCAGTGACAACAGAGAGACTTTTTTCTAAAGAAAGTCTTCTTTCTAAATGTACCCAAAGACACGGGAGTGAAGGCGGACGTCTAGTCGAGCCGCCAGTGAAGAGGCGTCCAGGAGGACGTATGGACATACCTGGTGACACCCCGCCAAAGGTAAATCGGTGCCCTTTCAGGGGACTCCGTTACAACATGTGAGGGTGCATGATGGGGGGAGGGGAGCAGGGAGATAGAAAAGAGCAATGCACCAGGATCACGGCAAAGACTAGCAATGAGGGGAAGGTGATCTCTGGGTCTCAGGAAGAGGAGAATGGGTAAGGAGGGGGGGAAACTGAAAAGGGCGGAGGGAAAGGAGGCAGCCTCACTCTGGGGGGACAAAAGGGGGTTCTACTGACAAACGTTCCTAAGCGTGACAAGACATAAGAGTCCTATATAGGATGAGACCTGAAGGTCTTGTCCTTGGTGCTTAAAAAGTCTATTTGTCTCGGGAGTTGGAATCCCTGGGGGCAGCTGACGCCCTGAGAAGTGGGAGAGCACGAACACTGGGAGATTTCCAGGCAAATGTAGAAAAAAAAGAATCAATAAAAGTAAACTCAAAAAATCAGGGCAATCGTACAGAAGGGGACTTAGCATGGGGCAGTGGCCTCTCTGATATCTGAAATAATTGGCACTGTTCTGGGAGGGAGGCACAAAGAAGGGGAATCCATGCAGCTAGGCCAACAAGGCATCCCAGAAAGCACCTCGAGGGGAGAGTCCAGAATGGATGCTCTGGAGGCTTTAACTGAATAAAGACAACAGAGAAAAGAGAGAGACCGGATAATGACAGAGGGCATGAATCAGAGAATGAGGGTCTGGGGTGGAGAGGGAGAGAAAGCTTTTTCAGAAAAGGGTACAAAAAATGAAATGAAAACTAAGCAATAGGAATAGCCAATGGGAAGGAGATGAAGTTAACTTGACTGAGAGGGAAAAAGAGGGGGAAACATTATATAACTAGATTAAAGAAGGAGATTAAAAGAAAAAGATTTAAAAAAGGGCCACCTTAAAAAAGATAAAGTAACTGAAGGAACATAATGCTCTGACTACAGCAGAAGTGGGAACCTGAAACTGAAAAGCTTCTGCACAGACACATTAATGCAGCTAGGATAAGAAGGGAAGTGGGCAAATGGGGAAAAATCTTCGTATCAAATTTCTTTGATAAGGGCTTGGGGGGCCAAGATAAATAAACAATAAATATACATATGATTAGTTATTCCCCAATAGATAAATGGTCAAAGGACATGAACAAACACGTTCGTGAAAGAAAAAAATGCTCCAAATTACTAATAAAAAGAGAAATGAAACTTAAAACAAAGCAGAGGTTTCACCTGATACGCTGAAGTGGCAAAAATGACAAAAATGGTAACATTCATGGTTGGAGGGGTTGTTGAAAGATAGGCACACTAATACACTGTTGGTGGAGCTGTGAAATGGTTTAACTATTATGGAAAGCAATTTGGAATTACGCAAATAAAGTTTCTAAAATGTCCACATCCTTTGAACTAGAAACTCCTTTACTGAGTTTATATCCTCAGGAAACCACTGATAAGAAAAAAGTCCCCATAAACTCCAAAATATTCATAGAAGTACTTTTTGTTATAGCTAAGAACTGGAAACATCAATACCCATTAGTTGGGGAATGGCTAAACCAAGTGTGGTTCATGAATGTAATGGAATATGCCTGTGCTCTAAGAAGCATCATGTGTGATGTATACAGAGAAACATGGAAAGATTTACGTGAACTGATGCAGAGTGAAGTCAGCAAAGCCAAGAAAACAATACAGACAATGACTACAGCGTGGAAAGCATAACTGCACACCAAAAAATCAAAAGTAAACATAGCAAAATTATAAAGGTGAGTAGAACTCAAATGAAGAGAGATGAGGGGACACCCCAGCTTAGCTCTTCACGGAGGTGGGAGAGGCAAAGGTGTCATTCATTGCACATTTTTGAACTTTTTTAATGTCTCGATCAGCTGTGCTGAATTCCCTGTCCCCCCTCATTTTTTCCCCTCCAAAAAATACTGCTTGTCATACGGGGTAGCTCTCCAAAAGGGGGATGGTGAGAGATACATGGAATACTATAGTGATATAAGAAACAGAAAATACTAATAAAAGGTTATTTAAATTTCTAAAAAATAACAGAAGGAAATCACATAGCTTTCATGGGATTATCAGTTAATCTTGGTTCTAAATAAAACTGTTCTGGAAAAAAAAAAGACGAAAGGAAGAAGAAACATTTATTAGGCTACAGCTATGTGCAAGGCACTGTGCTAAGCATTTTACAAATATTATCTCACTCGATCTTCAGAATAAAGAGGAAGGAGATTCCAACACACAAACATAATTATAGTTAACATTTTTATAGCAAGGTTTGTAAAGCCCTTTATATCTGTACTGTCATTGGTCCAACCCTATGAGATAGCTGCTGGTACTATACCCCTTTTACAGATGAAGACACTAAGGGGGATAGCAGTGAAGTGACTCGCACAGAGTCACACAGTTAGTTAAGTGTCTAAACTTGGGTCATTCTGACTCCTGGTCCATTGCCTCTATCCACTGCCTGGATGTGAATTCAGCCCCGCCTGTCGCCAAGGCCTGAGCTCTATCCTTCTCACCCCGGTGCCTCCAAGAAAGAGGGGAAAAGGATCACTGGCATGAGCCCTGGCTGCAGGAACTGGGGAGCCCAGGGAAGCCTTGAGTTGGGAGGGGCAGAGAGAAGCACAGCTCTTCTTCATGAAGTGCCCTGCACTGTGCCCCGTCTGCACCTCAGCTGCACTCTCCATTCATCCTTTGCCAAATACCCCTATCTCTCTGCCAGCCATTCCCTCACCTCCCAGATCCTTCCCCAGCCCAGGCCCACTCCTGAGTGCCCCAATCCCCAGATGTCTTCGCTTGCACCCAAGCCCACGTGTTGACTCCTCAGCTTCCTGGCCTCACAATTTTCTACCTTTTCTGCCATTTTCCCTGACTTGTAACTCACCTTTACCTAGCACGGTAGGGACAGAGACTACACCTATTATTTCACTGACACAGGGACGGCCCAGAAGAGGAAACTCCCTAGACCAATGCAGGCCGCAGAACTGTCTAGAGCAGAGGTGAGTGGGGGTGAGTACAACACTGCTGAGTGGGGCCAGACAACTGGGAAATACTTAACCACCTAAAAATACCATAGAACATATATAATATTCATGTGATTTCTAAGTCAATATGTGGCCCACAGGTATCCTTAGGTACTGTTTAGTGGCCCCCATTTCCATCTGACCCTAATACACTGGCCCAAAACACTGAGAGGTTAAGGGACTTACCCAGGGCCACAAAGCCAGGAGGTGTCAGAAGCAAAACTTCAACCCGGGTCCTTCTGGCTCTCTAGTTACTATGTCATGCTGCCTTCCCTACCTAACACTTTAAGGTTCAGAAAAAAAAAGCTTTTTTTCTCACAACCCTGTGAAATAGGAAACCCAAGTACTGTTACATTACTCCCAATTTGCAAAACAGGAAATTGAGGCTCAAAGACATTAAATGGCCTATCCAAATGGCCTGTTATCTTGACCAAGTGCCCCATCACCTGAGAGGACGAGGCTGCTCTGGGGGCTGCAGCTGCCCTAGACCTGCCCCCACCTCCACACGACCTAATGAAACGGAAGACAGATGGGAAGAGATCCATGAAGTGGGTCATCGCCAAGTTACAACCTAAGAACCTTACAGAAGACGTTTCTCCTCCCCTCATGGGCTGCTGACCCCGATCCTGTTCATTAGGCAGTGCGCAGTGCTGTGGTACAAATGCAGAATCACTATATCGAAAGTGGTCAGGCCGGGAGCACGCACCCACACACAGATCCCCATCCCACCTACAGGACCTAAAGATACCACACCATGCAAGCCCCTTAAAGACTGGGTTCCGAGCTGCTACATGTATCAAGTCCTAGGTCCTCCGAGCCTAGAGACACAGGCCACCCAGACACACATACACAGCCCATCCTCTCTACCCTCAGGGTCTCCTGATAAGACTGAGAAGGTAACAGGATGAAGTGGAGGTGCTGGTGGGGGCGGGGGTGAGTGTTTGTGGACGGTGGGGAAGGAACCTGTAAACAAGGAGACTGAGGAGTGGAGTAGAGGGAGGCAGCAGGGTGGCCCAGTGAAGAGAACTGGGCCTGGAGTCCGCAAGACTTGCCCTCAGACACTACCTGTGTGACCCTGAGCAAGTCACTACACCTCACTACGCTGCCTCAGTTTCCCTCAGTTCCTTCACCCACAAAATGGGGAAAACAATAGCACTCCCAAAGTTGTTGTGAAGACAAAGTGCTGTGCAGAAAGGAGAGCGCTATCCAAATGCTGGTATCATTCTCATCAGCAGGAAATGGATGGGACGAACTTCCAAAAGACAAAAGGAGTCAATCAGAGATCGATAAACGTGCAGGGCTCCTTGCCCACGGCACAAACGCTAATACACAGGCATACGGTGCCCTCTATTTCCGGACCTGCGGACACACACAGACACACAGACACACACACACAGCCAGCCAGCCGTACACACCTGCAGCCGGACAGTGCACAGATCGGACACTTCCTGGCTAATTTCTCTCAGCCTCACCTGCTTCTTCTGTACAATGGGACATACAAGAGCACGTCCTTCCCGGGGCTGTGAGGGTCCCATGGGAGGAGACGCCGAGCGCTTTGCAAACCTCAACGCCCCTCCCAGTGCCGGTCACCGCGGGGGGCGGCCGGGCCGAGCCCCCGGAGCAGCGGGGGGGGGGAGGGAGCGGGCTCAGGGAAGGCGCTTGTTTCCGCCGAAGGAGGAGCGAGCCCGCGGAGGTTCACAGGCAGCCAAGAAGGACCCGAAGACGAGGATGAAAAGGGGAAAGATCGACGGAGGGCGTCCCGGAGGAGGAGGGGGACGGCATGGGCCGAGGGAACGGGAGATCGATACCCCGCAGGGCCCTCCCCGCCCCCAGCCCCAGAGACCGCCGACCTTGCCCCTCCCCCTGCTGAGGGCTACCCCGGCGCCCCCGCCACACATCGTCCCCGTCAGTCCTCGGACCACAGAGACCGATGGACGATCGGGGGAGGAGGGGAAAGATCGACGGGACCGGGAGGGGGGCGGGGCCCCTCCCCCCACAGGCCCACCCCGCGAGGCCGCGCGCCCAGCCCCTCCCCCCCGGGCCTCCCGGATGGTCCGTGGGGGGCAACAGGGTTCAGACGAGGGTGGGGAGGGTGTTTGTAAGGCCGGGGGCGACCTCGGGGGTTGGCGGCTGGGTGCCGGGGGCCAGGCCCCTCCCCCACGAGGCCCCCTCCTTCCGGAGCCTGCGCGAGAGGGCGCGCCCCGGCCCGCGAGCCACGCGCGCGCACCCCCCCCAGGCGCACATCGACACGCGTGCGCACACCCACGCACACGCCGTTCCCCCTTCCCCACCCGCAGCTCGGCGCGCAGAGGAGAGCGAGCGGGTCGAGGCACACTCACCCGCTGGGCCCCCGGCACGCGCGCCCCTCCCCCTTCCGACCTTGCACACTCACGCAGACACGCCGCGCACACCCAGGCGCACACGCGCACGCATCACGCACGCTCACACTCACCCTCTTCGGCCCGCTCTCCTCGGGAAAGCTCCGAGCCGCCCGCCCGACCTACGCTCGCGGGGCTGTGGCCCCACCCACCGACGCTGCGCCTGTGCGCAGCCGCCGTGCGAACTACAAGCCCCAGAATGCACCGGGCGCGCCGCCCAGCGTATGGGCGGGAGGAGGGACCTGAAAGAAGGAAATAATGGAGGCGGGAAGAGAGAGGGCTGGAAAGGGGCGGGGCGGGAAGGCGGGCCCTCCCTGGGAGGGGTGGGGCCGAAGTGGGGAGGCAAGCCATGAGCACTTCATAAACACTTGACTATATGCTAGGCACTGTGGGAGGAGCTGGGGACGCCAAGACAAAAGTGAGATGGGTCCTGCCCTCAAGGAGCTTACCTTCTACCGCAGAAAGTACGAACTACATGGTTATTACCGTTCAGTGCTGTCCGTGACCCCTTGGACCCCAGCACACCAGACCCTTCTGCCCTCCACTGTCCCCCAGTTTGTGTTCCTGGTTCCCGTGACACCATCTAGCCGTCCCCTTTACCTTTTGCCTTCAGCCTTTCCCAACATCAGGGTCTTTTGCAATGAGTCCCATCTTCTCATGTGCCAGAGTATTTCAGCTCCGGCTTCAGTATCTGACTTTGCAGTGAATAGCCTGAATTAATTTATCAGATTTGTCAAAATTAGCAAATTAATCAAACCAGCATTGCCTGATTTCATCCTGTTGCTGTTCGAGACTCTCAAAAGTCTTCTCCAGCAACACAATTTGAAAGCACCGATTCTGCGGCATTCAGCTTTCCTCACGGTCCAACTCTCACAGCCATACGTTGCCACTGGAAAAACCATAGCTGTGACTGTATGGACTTTGCTGGCAAGGTGATACCTCTGCTTTTTAGCACACCGTCCACGTTTGCCATAACTTTCCTTCCAAGGAGCAAGCGTTTTTAATTTCATGGCTGCAGTTTCCATCTGCAGTGATCTTTGAGCCCAAGAATATAAAATCTGACACTGCTTCCATTTCTTCTCCCTCTATTTGCCAGGAAGTGATGGGGCCAGTTGCCAAGATCTTGGGGGTTTTGTTGTTGTTGTTAAGTTTCAAGTCAGCTTTTACATCATCCTCTTCCTCCCCCTTTCAAGAGGCTTCTCAATTCTTCACTTAATATGTACAAAGAAATTCTGGGGTATTCGTGTATCTGCAAGGCTAGATCCAGCAGAAGTGCATGCATAAAATGGTTGGAGGGGTCTCTGGAGGACTAGTGTTAGAGGAAGCTGGAAAGGTTTCGTGTGACACTGGAGTTGAGCTTTGAAGGGAGCTGGGGTTACTAAGAGGTGAGGAGAGGGCAAGGGAAATGTGAAGGCACCGGGAGGTGGGATAAGCCTGTTGGGGAAGGATTGGCTGGGAGCTGAGGAAATGGATTGGGGAAGGACTTGATTCAATAAACCTGCCCTGCAGATTAGCTTAAATGCCACTGGAAGATACTGTCTATGAAGCCAGCTGAGTAGAGTCATTTGAGTATGGAAAGAATGCTAATACTAACCAAGGAAGTCTGCAGCAAGTGAGCACACAGGTGAGCACTGAAGGGAGATGGAGTGCCTTTCTGGTACAGGACAGGAAAAGCAGACTGATGAAGGATGAAAAGAGAGGAGTATGTCGGAGGTAGAAGAGAAGGGCTGGAAAGGGAGGTAGAGCTGTTGCCAGATCTAGGTCGATTCCACATGCTTCTTCTAGGCATCCGAAAAGCCGAACATGCTGATGCCTCACTCATTTGGGAATTTGCAGGACCCTGGCAAGAGGGCTCCCATAGTCGCAGAATGCTGGAAACCTTGGAAAAGCTTGCGGAGATCATTGATATCCAACCCCATGATTTTATTGAAAAGGAGACATCCATTGGGGTAAAAGACTAACTTGCCAAAGCTCACATGGGGCAGAGATTGGACTTAAAGATGAAAATATCTAAGTAGGAACGGCATCTTAACAGCATTTTCCACCATGCTGCCCTTGGATGTTAAAGCATATGTTCCCATGTGTATATATGGATATATTCTTTAAAAAAAAAAAAACACCTGAATGTCTTTTGTTTTTAAATCACCTTTAATTTCCAAATATATCTCTCCCCCCTCCTCAAGAGTTATCTTGGTGGGTGCCCTTCCTTTCCCACCTCCCCTTTTTGGAGCACCATTCCTCATGACCAAGTGGAAATTTGGGGAGGCCAGCTTCTAGATATAAATGACTCGTTACTGGGTTGAGTCTCCTAATTGGCTGCCAATATGGAGTTCCATGGGTACATTAAAGGTCCAATCACTAATTCCTTCCCAGGTGAGATGATGACTCTGAATCATCCTAAGAGCAGGCCCCCATCTTGCTCCAAGCTATCAGCACTTGTCCTACCTAGGCAAGCTTATGCCTGAGATGGGACTATATTTATCCCTTCCATTTCAAGGGGGTTAAGGGCATGGTGCCCCCAGTGATCTGGAAAATGCACAAAAAAAAATTTTTGGCCCTCTCTTCATACCAAAGAAGAAGTCTGTAGTGATTAAAAAGGTTTGAGAGACATAGTTTCTGGGTAATTTAATCATTTTGTTAATAAGGCTAGCAGGTTATTAATAAAAGGATAGTCATTTGGCCATCTTTCTTAGACCAAAGACCCCTGATGGTGGTGGGGGTCACAGTTCATATGCCCTTTGAAGAGCAGGTGTTCCTGAGAAATGGAAATCAACTTGGATTGGTTAACACCATGGGAGGTGTGGGCTATAGCAAAATGAAGGTCTTGGGGTACATGACTTAGGTCACTCAAATCTTGGTCAGAAGAGACATATATCACCTGTCTTGATAAAAGGGAAAATTAACCTTTCCCCAAACCTGTCTGAGCAAACACAATGAGCAGGACCATACCCATTAGCCCTAACTTTGATCTGATTAGATCTTGGCCTGCGAAATTTCTAAGAGATTTCCCACACTGGTTGGTTTCTAGAAGTAGAAAAAGGGACAAACCTTGGTCCTAATACAATAATTATTTATTAAACATGAGAGAAATATTCATTTCTCACAAGTACATTTTTTCTTATTCTTTTATGGGGTATTTACAGTATCTTATTGTAAAATTTGGATCATAGGCTCTGTGTTGTCTGCTGGCCTTCATGTGTTATCTGCAGCTTCTGCGAAACTCCCCCAAAAATTCCCATTTAATTTCTTATGCTGACTAGTGACATAGTGAAACCGAAATAGGGAAAATCGAAATGTGGAAGGGATAACGTCCCTTCCTTTTGTGTCTTACTTAATTTGGTCCAGGGCCCTTAGAGAAAAGTCACAGCCCTGGCATTTCCCACTGGCAGTGGTGATGGTGCCAACAAAAGGGGGAAATATCCATATTGGCAGTTCAATTACCACCAAGAGAGAGTGCCTATGCAGCAACTGCTGTAGATGGGACCCAGTGGAAGAGGACGCATAGGAGAAAAAGAAACCACCAGAGAGATCACGTTCAGCATTTGATTGTACCATACCTGTCAGATGTGCAATGTGAAACAGCTCATCAGTTGCCTTGCAAAAACTTTAATGTTTGACTTGAATTTAACTTGAATACTAGTCTCCCAACATTTTGCTAGCAGGAGTGTTAAGGGAAGGAAGGGGAGAAACAAGCACCTATTTATGTGCCAAACATTACGCTCATTTGATTCTCATAACCCTGTGAGTAGGCGCTTTTATTATCCCCATTTTACAGTTGAGGAAACTGAGGCAGACAGTACTTAAGTGACTTGCCCAGGGTCACACAGTTAATTTAAGTGTCTGAGGCCACATTTGAACTGGGGTCTTCCTTTTTCCAGGCCCAGCTCACCACCTAGCTGCGGATGTTACTGAATTCTGTTCTAATCATTCTGTTTTGTTCCCTACAATTATTTTATACTTAGAATTTCCTTTGTGGGGGTGGGAATAAAGGATGCTTCATATCTGGTTTATGTTTGTGCATTGGGTACATACCTTTTGTATGTTTTTTTTACTTCTTCCCTTTTTAAGGGGAAACCCTAGGCTGGAGCCAAAATAGAATTGTCCCTGGAATAGCCAGAGTGGGATTGGCCAGCCAATAGATATAAGAATTGGGGAGCTTACTTGCTTTATCAAGAAGGCAGGCTTCCCCAGCAATAAACTTGGTACTCAGATACATGGCTAGTATAGAGCAGTCAGGGTTGTGATTCCCAATAGCAGCTTTCTATGGCCTCTATTCTGAATAATAAAGAATCTTTTTTTAAAAAGTTAGTTCAGCAAAACTAATATTCCATCCCACCAATCCCAATTCCCACCTCGACAAAGAAGGGAGAGAAGTGCATTTTTTCATCTCCTTCAGAGCCAAACTTTGTCATTATGGTTATAGTAATAATATTGTTGTTCAGTCATGTGCAACACTTCAAGACCTCACTTGGGGTTTTCTTAGCAGAGATACTGGAATGGTTTGCCATTTCCTTCTCCAGTTCCTTTTACAGATGAGGAAACTGAGACAAACAGGGTAAAGTGACTTGCCCAGGGTCATACGATTAGTGTCTTTAGTCAAAGTATGTTTGTTTGTTTGTTTTGCTTTTTGGTGAGGGATTAAGTGAACTTGCCCAGAGTCACACAGCTAGTAAATGTTAGGTGTCTGAGGCTGGATTTGAACTCCGGTCTTCCTGACTCCAAGGCCACAGCTCTATTCACTGCGCCATCTAGCTGCCCCAAAAGCATGTAAATAGTTTGTAAATGTCTGAGGCCAGATTTGAACTCAGGAAGATGAGTCCTCCTGACTCCAGGCCCAGGACTCTCTCCACTGAGCCACCTAGCTTCCAATAATAATATTAGCTAGCATTTATATAGTGCTTTAAGGTGAGATACACACACACACACACACATCTCATTTGATCTTCACAACAATCTTGGGAAGTAGATACTATTATTATCCCCACTGTACAGATAAGTAAACAGACAGAGGTTAAGTGACTTGCCCAGGGTCACACAATTAGTGTCTTTACTCAAACTTGAGCTCAGGTATTCCTGACTCCAGGTCTAATACTCTAGCCACTGTGCCACCTAGTGGCCTCACAGTTTTACACAGTTACATGGCTGTAGTCTTGTATATAGTTTTCCTTGTTCTAATTATATCACTCTGCATCAGTTAATATAAAATCTTCCCATGTTTCTCTGAATTCATCTTTTCTTATGG